CGGATTCCTTTCCGCTCCGTTCAGTACTGGAGGCCTGTAACCGACGCAGAGGATACTCATTGTCTTATCGTAGAAGCGTTAATTTATGTTTTTGCATGTCTTCTTTCATTGTAAAAGGGCCCCATCGTTAGAGGCCACTGACTTTCTGGATCCCACCCCAGTCCCTGTTCAGTAAAGGTATTCAGAACTCCGACTCGGACACTAATGTGGCGAGCAGGATTCCACGTTAGGCACTGTGAGCTCTTGACCAGTGGCGCAGTCAGAGAGGAGAGAAGTTCGTGGTGCTTTGGCCCTCCCCCGTCAGGTTCGAGCGCAGTTTTAGCTGGAAAGCAGGAAAACTACCTTGGCTTGAAATCCCATAGACACTACTATGGTCAGTGGCATGTAGATTTCAACAGCCGTGATTTTGTAACAATACTGGGGGAAAGTCGAGTGAGCAGGTACGCTGCTCAGCTGAAACAAACCTTTTAGGCACCAGGGTAAGCCAACATCGATAGCTCACTGATAGACTTGGTAGTAAGGCATATCTTATGGGTAAATCGCTGGGGAGATCTGAGTCAGTTGAATTCCGGATAACTTCAACACAAAATGCGTATTTTGCCGACATTCCTGTCATGCCGGCAATCGTGCACAATTTCCATTTCCCAATTTTGCTCTTTCCTTGTAACTAAATCATTTTCGTTTAACAGGTTTAGACAGCAAACTGCACAATGAGTTCGGCTATAATATAGAGGTGCAAAGCACTTTTGCATCGCCTCCTTGTTCAAAGGAGGCTGTCATACGATACACTCTATATGGAAATGCGCATCTATTTGCATGTCTACCCCTGTTTGCATGTTCACATGCTGGTCGTTTCTTGCTTGTTGACCCGTGTGGAGGTCAAAAAATGAAACAAAACATTGAAAGTCTCACATCACGCATGTGTGAGAGTCAGAAGTGTACGTTTACTGCTGACGGCTCGCTGCGGAAATTGATTAGCTCTACGCGCTGGTGGGAAGGTCTGTTCTAAAGCCAGTAGGGTTACCGCAAGTACTTGCGGGCTTGTTTCTCTACACTACGTGATCAACTCCTTGAAAACGCATGGAGAGAGCCGTGGTACTATATGTAGGGTTGTGTCTACATTATTTTGGGTTACGCTCATCATCTTTCATAGAATTTATTGACCAAGCGGACCTCTGGCTGACGGGAATGGGCGTGATGTGCTGACTACCAGGGATGTGCATGAGTTATAGAAAAGATACTTCATCTATTAGACAACTATCAAACGTGTACGTGGGTGAAACCAGTTGAACGGTAGTCCAGCCCAAGGCAACAGAAACAACGTCACAGAACGCTGCGGTCTCCGGAGTGTAGAGCCGACGGGTTTGGGAGCAGACGTGAATTCGGACACCAAATTCGTCATAGATACGTAGGACTAGGTAGGACAACAGCTGCCTGCCAATGCATGAAAACCGCCGCCATTTTGGGACAGTCATTGAGCCCTCTGTGCAGGTTAGCTGGGTATGTCTGTGGGGGTCGGTATTTTACATACTGTTATGGTGTTACGTTTTTATGGTCCATGTTTTTATTTTTACATATTTCGTTATTTGTCGCTTTCGTTGAATATGCCGCGTGATGGCATAGTCTCTGCAAGCCAAAGGTGTATCCAATAAGCCGTGGATTTGTGTTTTTTATATTGTAATTAAGCTGGTGTTGACGGTGCCAGCCGGAGGTGCCAACCAGGCGGTACGATTTCCTTTCAAGGGAAGGTTAATGTTCTGGTTAGGGTCAACGCTCCCCGGGAATTTGATTTTCGATGACCTTTTCAACTTTTAAACCAAGATCTCTTTTTGAGATCTCTTCTAAAATTTGAGGGCCCCTATTCTGAATCTTTAACACGCACCCGGGTGGCCGGTTCGATACCCTTCGCTCGGGTGTCGTGGGGGTCAATTTGAGCCCCTCCCCTGATATCTCAGGAACTAAGAGAAACAGAGGTACCGTATTCCCAAAGTATGCTTAACTTTACGTTTACTCTCTTAGGTCAAAGTTTGAGGTTCCTAGGTCATGTTCTTTGGGTCAAATAAGGTCAAACAAGGTCAAAATCCAGGTTGGTCTCCAAAGGGCCGCTAGAACATAGATAATTGTTACAACCAAAAGATCACATACTCATTTAAGGCACGTGACCTTTTTGACCTTTTGAAGGTCATGGTGGTCAAAACCGTACAAGGCCGCTTTGAGTTTTGCAATTGGATAAGCGACAAAGGATACGCTAGGCAGTCTATTCCTAAAACAAAATGTTGAACTGGGTCATTTTAGGTTAATGACCTATTCTGACCTTTGAGAAGTCCACGGAAGGTGTATAATGCGGTTCCTGTAATCAATAAACTCATAGTGAGCACTACAAATGATCTCATACAGTGAACACTCCAGTACTAAAACAGGTTGGCCTTTACCTTGGTCCGACCTTTTGTAATTGACCCTAGGTCAATGTAATTTGTTTATTCAATTGTTGTGTGACCTAAGAAAATATATCAAAGATGTGTAGCTTCGTCTTACACTTCGCTGTTGGAGCGGACTGAACGATTCCCTAGAAATTGCCTTCGCTGAAACCGTGGCCCGACTTTGACCTGCCATAGGTCATCTGGCCGTCCCATTAAATGTGTTGTGGTTGGAGATGGCACAGTTGGGAAGACATGCATGCTGATCTCCTACACCACAAGCAGCTTTCCAGGAGAATATGTGCCCACCGTGTAAGTATTTTAGCAATAAGTATAGCCCGGTGCATTTATGCTTTGTCAGGAATGATTTCGGGCTGAGAATTTGATAAGGTTCAGTGGCTTTAGAAGGGACATCTATCCGCTATTCAATTGTTTACAGCTGCGACAAATTTGGCGCGGCTACGTCGCGCCGTTCGAAAATCATTCCGAAAAAACCTACGGGGGGCATTTGATCCCCACCCGAGCAAGTGCTACATCGTCGACACTTATTTACATGGATGTGATGCCTGTGACATTTTGATGAGGGAGCACGTGCTCCTCTCCACCGAACATTACGCTGCCCGGGAGGCCCCACTTTGTTCGGGAGACCGCTTGACAAATTTTGCCCCCTATTGAAAGTATGCAGCGCCGTCACTGCACCCCTGTGCGACACCGATTTACACACCCTCGGGTGAGGTCAAATTGACCTCCTGAAGATTTTTCGAAATGGTTTCCGAATGGCGCTGCATAGCCCCGCCAAATTTTGTTTGACTGTAGACAATTGGATAGCAGATCGTTTAACATAACAAATTTAGGTGTAACTTGCAAGGTCACTGACCTATGGCAGTTCAAAGTCAAGCCATAGTTTCAACGTAGGCAGTTTCTAGGGAATCGCTCAGTTTGATCCAATAACGGGGCGTAAGACGAAGACACACATCTCTGGGATACATTCTTATGCAACACAGCAATTGAATAAACAAATTACATTGACCTATGGTCAGGTATGAGGGTCAGACTAAGGTCAAAACCAATCTGTTTTATCACTCGAGGTCTTGCTGTATGGAGTAGTTTCTGGAACTCATTTCAAATTTATTGATAACAGGAGCCGCATTATACACCTTCCATGAAGTTCTCAAAGGTCAGAATAGGTCACTCACCTAAAATGACCGAGGTCAACATTTTGTGTTTAGGAACATGGCGCCTAGCATAATCTTTGTCGTTTCTTCAATTCCAAAACCCAAAGCATTCTTGTATGATTTTGGTTACCTTGACCTTTAAAATGTCAAACAAGGTCATTGACCAAATGAGCTTAGAACAGCTAGCTTTGCTTAGAACAGTTGTCTAGGTTCTAGCTGCCCTTTGGAAACCAACCTGGAATTTGACCCTGTTTGACCTTATTTGGCCCGAAGTTTATGATCTAGGAGACTCAAACTTTGACCTGAAGAGTTCACGTACAGGTCAGCATACCCTTTCGGGGGGTCAGACTGACCCCCGCTCCCTCCACCCGAGCGGAGGGTATCCAACCGGCCAACCGGGAGCGTGTTAATGTTTGTTTAGTCTGAAGTCTGTTGCCATACTGGGCACTGTCAATGGCGCTGGGATTCACTCATAAAAGTAAACCTCCATCGCAATTGATGGTGGCCCGTCACCTCAAACATTTTGCCTGCACCTCTGCCCACGACCGACGCCGGGGGCTCCTCAAGATCTCAGAGCTACGTTCAAAACAAGAGGCCCTTAGTGACAGTCGTGGTCCCGGCCTTTTTTCTGGATTCGGAAACTGGCCCCGAGTGGATAGACTGACAAGACCTGGGTTGACTGTTCGGCATTGGTGGTGCCTGACCGACAATGAGGTCCTGAACGTCCCAGGAGGTCCTGAACGTCCCAGGAGGCCCTGGACGTCCCAAAATGCCCTTGCTCAATGCATCAGGCCTTCTGACTGCTATTTGAGGGACTGGCCCGGGGAGGGGTCCTAAATGCGAACTCCAGCTGGACCTTCTGGCCCTGGCCCTCCAATGATGCAATGATACATCACGGCCCGGGGTCCCTCATGGCTCCCGGGTCCCTCATAGTCAGCCCATCATGTTCAGTTTGTGCTTCCTCCGGGAGGTGACCGACTGTCCTCACTGCATTTTTGCATTTTAAGACGACAGCAGGGCTTCTAAAGGCTCCAGTTATAATTTCCGAATGTCGGAACGGGATGCCTTTAGTCCAAAGATCCTCCTTGATTAAAAGGCCACTTCTCGACCAATTTCATCCCATCTTGAGCGGCATAGTGGCTCCGCCACTGCGAGGTGGCAAGAAAACCGTTACTCACCAGCGATTGTGCCCCGCAAAGTGGAGACAACCGAAAAGCTTGACCCAGTGACGTCATTTGCCGGGCCATACAGACTATAAGCAAATCAGGGTTGGACTAGCCACTATAGACCTTTCCTTGGAAGTGCTGCCGTTGATGGTCGCCGGAGCGGCGCCGATCGCTGAGTCGAGGCGTGAGGGGTGAGTCACTCTGGGTGGGTTTGCCGGCCTTGTCAGGGGGTTTGCCGGTGGGTGGGTAAATGGCGAGTGGACGGAACGTCGGACGCTGGGCGGTATCGTAGACCGAAGTCTGTTTGTGTGCCTAGGAGAACTGTGTGCGTACCAATCTCCAATTTCACTGCCAATCGCTCTAGTACCAAACAGAATGAGCAAGTTCTAGGTGTTCCCACCGTCGTGGAATAAGTCATGGCCCATGAGGTTCCTTGGACCCATCCGTTAAGGAAAAAGACGAGGTCGTGGGTCAGTCATGTGGATGGATTTCTTGTACACTGCTATTGTGACTGACTAGATGACTCTATGGGTTAGGTTTGCATTTCCTGCATATCCCTGTGTTTGTTGGCATTGTGTCAGTGTAATTGTTATATCTGATGGCTGCTGTATTCATTCTGTTAGTTTACAGCCTGCAAATGATATTACAGACATCAGGAAGCTCTTACCATCAGCATGGGCTCTGCCACAATAAGGCAACTTGCAGAAGCCTGGATGGCTGCAAACTTATCCCTTCTAACTGGTTTTGAGATGTTTAATTGTGCAATCCTTAGCATCAAATGCAAAGCATAATCAGGAAAGTAGCAAATGAAATAGCATAATACATTATGAGTGATATGCAACCATGTATATGATTAAGTATTGAAAAGTCCCTTCTGCTTCTGAGGCCTGTAATACAAGAACAAAGATAAATTTGGCATTGTTGGCATCTTTGGCATTAAAGGTGCATTAACAAGAGGTATCTGGGACACTCCCTGTGATCTTACATGTAAATTTTATAGTGTCATATTAATATTTGATAGAAGGGCTGTAAGACTGAAATTTTGCATTATCCCAAAACATGAAGATGATCATAGAAATTGCCATTCTGACACCTTTTGCTTTGGTTCACTAGGCAGGTATAATGCCACAGACTTAAATACTGTTGATTTGCTAATATCACAGCATGCTGGTAACCAAATAATGCATTTTGAATCCAAACAATGCATGCATATTGCAGCACTATTGGTATTAAGTTGACAGACAACAAGGTATTATATGCATAAGGTGGAGGCACTTCAAGCTGCTTTGGTTTTTTCTGAATAGATTGGGTGGGTGCAGTTATTTTAAGTAAGATGTGCACAATATCATTTGGTGTTTTTATTCCAAATAGTAAGGAGTTGTGGGAAAGATCTCCTCTCACATTGTGCCTGTACCTGCAGTGGGCCTGGAACATCCGTTGACCAACACAGAGCTGGCATGTCATCTGGTCGTCCCATTAAGTGTGTTGTGGTTGGAGATGGCACAGTTGGGAAGACGTGCATGCTGATCTCCTACACCACAGACAGCTTCCCAGGAGAATATGTGCCCACCGTGTAAGTATTTTAGCAGTAAGCCTAGCCTGGTGCATTTATGCTTTGCCAGTAATGGTTTTGGGCTTGAGCAAGCCTTTCCTTTGCTGAATGACATGTCAGGTTGTCAGATTTAATCCTGCACACTTTCATTGTATCTTTGAGAATTTGATAACATAGGACATCCTGCATTTTACCAAATTTACTCCAGTTCAAGGATTGGCTCTTAGATAAAACACAGTCGAAATCAGAGACAAATGGGTAAACAAAAACTAGTGGCAGTTTGTGTTGGGTGATGCAGATAGTTGGGGGACTCTATTGCCTGTCCAGGAAATGACCCTGTTGGTGCTACATGCCTCTGACAATATCTTGCCAAGGCTCAGGTGCTGAGTTTATTTCCCTGGTTTCCTTAGTCTGGACTACCAGCTTGATCTTGTGTATGACATTCCACCATCGGACATTCTGTAGTCTCCTGGATTTACAATGTGTGAGTGTATTGGCATTTGATGTCCACATCTGGTCATTCTGCAGGTTCGACAACTACTCGGCACCCATGGTGTGTGATGGCATCCCTGTGAGTCTCGGCCTCTGGGACACGGCTGGCCAGGAGGACTATGACCGGCTGCGGCCTCTGTCCTACCCCCAGGTAACCACCCGACCACCGCACGGGAAATACGGGGCTCACGGCAGAAGGGAAATGCGACTTGTATGCTTGTTTTATCACCCCATTTACTGGATGCAAAAGAGAGGATGTGGTGTGTCTAGTTCCCTTGGAACTGTGCAGTTGTGCTAGAATCAGTGAAAGAAATATGGAACATAGGGACAAAACGAAAAAGTCGATACGATATCTGGACGCCAGCAGTTGCCGCGCTGCGATCTGTGTTGCAACATCAGTCAAGTAAATGTTCTGTGCACCATTTCAGACAGACGTCTTCCTGATCTGCTTCTCGGTCGTGAGTCCGTCCTCGTTCGAGAATGTCACAACCAAGTGGTGCGCCGAGATCAAGCACCACTGTCCGGAGGCGCCCGTCATACTCGTCGGTAGGTGCTCCCCGCCATCGAGCTCCGCACTATGGTTGTCTGGCGGCCAGCTAAGCCTGTCGTGGATGGAGATAGTTGCGCTAGGTTATCTATGGTTTGTTGCGGAGGACGTTGTAAAAGAGCAGAACTCAAGAAGTTTGGGTCTGCTTATGTTTATACGCGTTTTGTACTGACACATTGTAAGGAAACAACAGCCAGTTAGTAAAGTGTGGTGTTCGACTAAGTGGGATGGAAGGATGTCTAGTCGTCTGCACGGCTTCCGGTTGGCGCGAGGCGGCTCTTCGTGACGCCCAGTCTACCGTCCAGGTACCAAGATTGACCTGCGGGAGGACAAGGAGCAGCTGCAGCAGCTGTCGGAGCTCGGCCTGTCGCCCGTCAAACGGGAGCACGGCCAGAAGCTGGCGCACAAGATCAGAGCTGTCAAATACATGGAATGCTCGGCGCTGACCCAGCGCGGCCTCAAACAGGTGAGAGGTCACGGACCACGGGTTCACGGTGGCGGCAGCGGTTTGAGAGAATCTAGGTCGACCACAGAGGTCTGTGGTGCTGCACCGTCGCTGGTGGCGTCGTGATGGGCTATGTCTGCGGTGAATGATCATGAAGACTGTTCGCGGTGCGACGCCAGCACCGATAGAGCTTGGAACTGAATGCTGGTGTGGCGACGTTTTGTGACACCATAACTGACTGGCCCAGCAAGATCCTGAACGGAAGCGGTTTCGCTTAAGTCTTGCTAGATGGATGCACAATGTCTCCCCGCGTGCCTTATTTGTGGTATGGCCTGGCTGATTCATTACCCGATACCCGAAGCTTGTGGTCGCTGGCTCGTCTTCGCTTGCATTACGGGCTGCCATATATGTGCAATGATCTGGGGGTGACTCATGCCGCGATTTTGCAAGCAGCGAGCGGTTGTCTTGGAGGTTATTTGTGTCGTGCAAAACAACAAGGCCCATGGTATGCCTCTTCCTACACTCGCGACTTTTCAAATGCGGCCCTCCTTGTCGGAATGTTGTATTCGACGTGTTTACTATTTGTGGGAAGATCACCACACATTTCTAGCCAATTTACACAAAGACCCGTCATTTTTTCTGCGCCATCCGCTGAGCAACACCTCACTCATCACGAAGCCTGCCAAAGATCTGCCAGCCGTGAACGCGCCGCTGCTTTGAGCAATCCCTTCTGTTGAATTCCTACACACGGACGACGCACATGGCCCGAATGCAAGCTGGATCCCACGACCCGTTTGCTTTTTAACAAGGCATCGAACAACGAAAACCCCTCGTGGGGCGGTGCTTTGGTGATGACCTAACTGAGAGCAATGAGTGGGCAGGATGTGCGCGGCCGAGCGGATACATGTTTACGAACACCCAGCAGTGCGCTTCCCAAATATCGCCAACCATTGACGGTCTGTGTCCGCCGGTGACCACGCTGACGGTCTGTGTCCACCGTGACCCGCTGGCGGTCTGTATCCGCCGGTGACCCCGCTAACGGCCTGTGTCCGCCGGTGACCCCGCTACGGTCTGTATCCGCCGGTGACCCCGCTGACGGTCTGTGTCCGCCGGTGACCCCGCTGACGGTCTGTATCCGCCGTGACCCGCTAACGGTCTGTGTTCGCCGGTGACCCCGCGACGGTCTGTGTCCCCGTGACCCCGCTAACGGTCTGTGTCCACCCGTGACCCCGCTAACGGTCTATATCCGCCGGTGACCCCGCTGACAGTTTGTGTGCGCCGGTGACCCCGCTGACGGTCTGTATCCGCCGGTGACCCCGCTGACGGTCTGTGTCCGCCGGTGACCCCGCTGACGGTCTGTGTCCGCCGGTGACCCCGCTGCGGGTTGTCCGCCGCGGTGACCCCGCTGACGGTCTATCCGCGGTGACCCCGCTGACGGTCTGTCCGCCGGTGACCCCGCTGACGGTCTGTGTCCGCCGGTGACCCCGCTGACGGTCTGTGTCCGCCGGTGACCCCGCTGACGGTCTGTGTCCGCCGGTGACCCCGCTGACGGTCTGTGTCCGCCGGTGACCCCGCTGACGGTCTGTGTCCGCCGTGGCCCGCTGACGGTCTGTATCCGCCGGTGACCCCGCTGACGGTCTGTGTCCCGGTGACCCGCTGACGGTCTGTGTCCGCCCGTGACCCCAGCTGACGGTCTGTATCCGCCGGTGACCCCGATGCTGGTCTGTCTCCGCCGGTGACGCCGCTGACGGTCTGTGTCCGCCGGTGACCCCGCTGACGGTCTGTATCCGCCGGTGACCCCGCTGACGGTCTGTGTCCAGCGGTGACCCCGCTGACGGTCTGTATCCGCCGGTGACCCCGCTGACGGTCTGTATCCGCCGGTGACCCCGCTGGCGGTCTATGTCTGCCGGTGACCGCGCTAACCCCGTCCCCATCCGGCAGGTGTTTGACGAGGCGGTACGCGCCGTGCTGCGGCCGGAGCCGGTGCGACGGCGCCAGCGCAAGTGCGCCGTCATGTAGCGGCCGCTCCGGGGAGAGACGGACCCGCTCTGCCGGGCGCCGGCCCTCCGTGCCGCCGGCCCCGTTCGTTCTCCGCAGAGTAGCTCCGCCGCGTGCTTCCAGCGGGAGCCGGGGAGCCGCGCTCGGCACCTACCGCTGCCCCGATCTAGTCGCTGCCCGGTGCGCTGCCGCCCGGGCGCAGTGGGCAGCTGCCCGGTCCGAGTCAGGCCGGCGGGCTCTGGAATCAGACGGACTCCCGCATTACATGGTTCGGTGGAGTCTGTTCTACATGTTCCGATACAATTCGTGCGCTGTGTAATCGGACGGCTTGTGCTCCCTGATCATGTGGAGTGTGCTCCTCGATCACATAGTACATAGTGTGTTCCGCGATCAGTTGGTGTGAGCGCTGAAGTTATGGAGATGTGTTCTTTGGGAGCGTGAACGCAAGGGCTGATTGGAGTTTGTGCTTTGTGTGTGTGCCTGTGGTTGTCTGGGACAGCTCTGTCTGTGCTAAGTAAGAGAGCTGAACTTCTGTCTGCAAACTGCTACAGTTTGCACTCGGCAAAGAATGGAATGCATGCAAGACATGACTGATGGCTCTGATGAAGTTATATAGCTAATCAGCACATCCCACCGAACCTTTGCACGATACTTCTTCTATATATGTATATTTTTATTTCGTCAAGTGGGCCTAACCTGTCGTTGATGTACACTAATCCGCCAGCTTCGGGGGGGCCAGCGGCGTGAATGAGTTGCCTGGCACGCGCTCGTCTCGCGTGCGATGTTTGACGCGTCAACGGCCGCTGCGGCGTGCCGAGGCGTGCCGCGCCCCCGGACGCGCGCTCTGCACGATCTCTGTCCGTGGGGGATGCAGGGACGTCGGCTCCCTTGTCCAGTCCATAATTGGCGGGGTGTGTTGCGGCGTGGACCGAGACTCCATCGTCCTGCTCTCTTTCTGAGGTTTATTTGTATCCGTCAGATGTGATTATAATCGACATTTGCTTTGTCTACTTACGCAGTGCCGGAATATTTGTGGGTCACAAAAGGTCGTGAGGAGTACAGACTTCTAGGAGTATGATTTTTGACTTTTTGTACTTTTTTACCGCAATAAACATACCGTGCACCGGGTGTGGTTGTGGAGCCCGTTTTGATAATGCTGTGATATGACAGGCGTCCCAGCGTTCTGGAGAGTTCGCGACTGAGCTGGATTTTGCGGCCCTTCAGCTGGAGCACACGAGCTGCCGACCGGATGCGCACAGATGCCACCAGACGCCGCTCGCAAGCGAGAGATCGGTGATGTGCCTCGAAAATGTGTGACTGAGTTTGAAAATCCGGTGGCATTCGCCAAGAAGCCATCAGTCAAAGTCAAAACCGAGTCACCGAGTCGCGCAAGAGCACCCAGGCCGTCCTCGAACAAACTGGAGATCTCAGCACAGAGATGTAGACATCTTCGCCAGTACGAAACAGCAATACGCTCTTTCCTCGTTTATGTCAGCAGACTGCTTACGACACAACGCTGTTCTTACTGGACTAAACAGCATTCAAACAGAACATTTTCGACGGAGCATCACTGAGTTGCGCAAGCCACGCACTTGACAAACCACGAGAGAAAAAGGGCCCATCCCTACTTCTTGGCCCGCTTGCCCTGGCCCTTTGGCCGGGCGGTCCCTTGCCTCTAAGCTTCCGCAACCGCTTCATCTCATCGTTGAAGTCCTGGTGCTCAGTCCCGGTACAGACCCAGTGCCCTGAGCCGAATCATCAAGTTAGTAGGTCTCTTTAAAGCGTGGATAGTAGTCACATACTCTGGGTCCTTGTACTTGGGCCTTTCTGACAGCAGCTTCACCACTCTCATGGACGTTTGCGTGGTGGGCCGCGCCACCTCGCCGAAGATGCGGCAGCTCAGCCGGTTCATTCGCCGCGCGTACTCGGTGGCATTCTTGGTCAGCTTGGCATAGCTGTAGAACCCGGACGTCATCCTGAGACCTGGAAGACCAACCACATTCAGGTACTTCCTGACTATACCCAACTGCAAATGCAGAGGAGCCAGCAAAAGCAGTTTCTATGGACAAATCTGCCTAGACGCAGGTTGGGAAAACTTGACGTCTCCTGGCATAATGTATACTGGGAGATTTTTATACCGCAGGATTGTAGACTAGGTAATATGAAATATTTTGTACGCCATCATGATGCAACAAAAACGGCCTGTGGGAAACTCATTTTACCTTTTTGTGTCAGGACAAAAAAAAAACCAAAAGGCGCAACAGCGTGAGACTTGCTGCTTCCATTAGGAGCCATGTATTGATATCCGTGAGAGCACAAATCTTGCACCCACCAGACTGAGGTGCCAATAGCAAGCAGCCTGTGTCTGCCTGCCATCTAAGGTGTATGATAAACCATGTATGGAAATGTGAAAAGTAAAGTGTGAATGTTTGAATGGAATATCGCCTTTGAACAATACCGGGAAATGAGTTACGAGTACCAGAATCGCACCGGTCTGTGGATCAGCCAAGCTCTCGTTTCCTATGCCCTACACAGACCAACTTGAATATCACTTAACCTACCATTGACGACGAATCACATTAATGCCAAAGATGCAACGAACAGTCATAGAAAACCACACTGCCAATCACCTACCACAGATGGCTGCCTACTCACGCAACACCACTGTGTCATGGCAATGCAAATAAGAGAATCACTCGCAATTCAGTGTCGGAAACGTCTCAACTATTCAGCGGCTCGCACCCACCTCCCAGCTCAGGGTTGGAGGTTTGAACACAGCAGAGCTCTTCCAATTGGCTTTAATGGTTCGCCTCCTCGTGACTGATTTGTCAAGAGCATAAATATTCTGCTCGCGCTCATGCCTCGGACAGATTTGTAAGCATTTGGAGGGAAGCTGTACAGAGATGGACATCACGATTATGAAGGACTTATTTTGTACTATTATTTGTACTCATCCAGAACTGCCATGTGGTTGGATTTTTGGCCACTTCCTGGTACCCGGAGTACAAAAATGTTACGGAAGCTGTGGACTTAAACAAAGTTAAATTGTCACTTAAGGGTGTGAAATTGGAGCTGGTAATTCATGCTTTACAAAAATATCCTTTTAAGTTGAAAAACGCTGCTATACATCGCCCAAAAAACTGTTTGGAGACAGCCCATCTCACTCCGGTAAAAACACCAGAACACCGGAGTAAGATGAACCCATAATTTTGGTCCGACAAATTACGGAGAAGGACAAAAACAAGATTAAGGACAAAATTATGATTAAATTGCAGCGTGAATTATCATATTCTTCAATGGTATCAGTAAAAGCGCATCAAAATCCATTTATACATTGCATTATCCGCCGGAGTCAGCGGAGTGACTGACTCTGATCCCTTTTGGTCGGCCTGCACGGGTCTGGCAGGCATGATACTCCCGCTGGCTCCATAAATCGGTGAGGAGTGCTGCCTGTCTCTATTGTTCAGGTAGGACATGCAGAGCCTCGTGTTGTTGACTGGGAGTTGCAAGGTGGGGGGCATAAATGCTTAGCTGTTTTTAAAACCAGTTAGCTGGTGGAGCTGTGAGTGACGTGACCGTGGTGGAGCCGTGAGCAGCGTGATCGTGGTGGGAGCATGAGTAGGTAGCAGTCTGTGGCATGTTACTTCACATTTTTTTGTGTACCACTTTTTTTTCTGGCTGTGCGTATCATACCCAGCCTCCATTTTGGAGGGTGCATTAGCCCGGTGTGTAGTCGCCCTCCATTTGGGAGAGTGTGTAAGCCCAATGGGTAATTACTCTTCATTTCGGAGGGTGTAGGCAGAACCTTTCATAAATTGCAAACCTATGTATATTCACACATGTTGCATAGTACACAGTAAGAGACTGTTGTTTCAGTGTGCCATGTTTAATACTGATGTTTCCTTTCATTTAAAGTGTTTTTACATGAATTGCTGTAAATAAAAAGTGGGGCTTTTGTTGAGTACCACCAACTGTACTGTTATCTCTTAAAGATAACATAAATACAACTGTAATGACCTGCAGCACTTGGATAATTTTGTACTCCACTATAAAACATTTGTACTCTGCTACCAGGAAGACTTTTAGATTTTCCAACACTAGTAGTGCGGGGAAGTAAATGACATGCACCTCTGCCACTTAAACAGTATTTTACAACTAAAATGACCACTGAACAAGTTGAATGACAACTGACAACCATGTCACACAACACCAAGAGCTCAGCTCTAGGCATAAAGACACAAACACATCAGACCAACAGACAGACCAACAGGGCCCATTAATGGTTTCTAACCCATGCTAGCCACTAATCTTATGACCTCACTTCCCTAATTTACTAGAGATAAGATCCCTTAGATCAACAGAAGTTGTCCAGATCATTTTCAACTGTTGCTAGGGAGGGGACTTTCTACAACTTTGTTTTGGCAGTCCTGGGTCCATTCCAATTGTTGATTATGCTTTGACTAAGTGACATATGCAGCTTCACAGTTCTGCTCCTACCTTTTGCTATTGAGACTGGTTTCCCTCTAAGTTTCTGCCTAACTTCAAGTGCACTTGTAGATCTACCTTGTCTTTCCCTTTGCAATCTTAAATACCTCTATGAGAACCCCTCTACATCTATGATATTTCAATGAATACAATCCAAGACCTGAAGTATCTCCTCATATTCTAAGTTGCTAATCATAGTTATTATCCTAGTTGCTTTTTACCATACCCCCTCCAGGCCTATCCATATCCTTTTGGGTACATGGGACCAACCCTGTGCATAATACTCCAGGCATGGTGTGGCATAAGCTAAGTTCAGCTTTTGACAGCATCCCTACTCTTGAAATGGACATCCTTGTTCATAAGTTCCAGCATCTCAAGTGCCTCTACTTCATGTAGGCATACTTCATGCACATTCTCCTAATGTACCACAGACTGATGTCTTCACTTAGGTTGTGCCTTGTGGTGTACTTCAAGCACAAAATCAGATAAATGCTCTGAAGTTCAACCCTTCATAGCTGGCTTTAAAAACATGCAACTGCTCACTGACAAAAGTGCTCAGGCGATTGTTGCACTTCTACGCGTGGGACCACTTGTTGTATCATATATTTGATATCTTTATGCTTAAAAGGAACATTTCAAATGAGGCAAACAACGATCACTTCATTATTAGCAGCCTACATTCATTTGCAAGTCACAATTGCATTCAAAATTAAGCAAACCACGGACAATCTGTTCACAATTTGTTTTAGCACCTACCGTTTCAGAATCTCAAACACCTTGAGCACATGTCGCAGGCGCACATAGCGCATTCCTCTATGGAAGATACAATTACTACCGCTTAACAGGGCTGCTCTTTCGAAACATGTGCGTCATTTTCCATCCGAAATTGCAGCGGCCAAATTAGGAGGAATTTTCCCATACCG